GAATTGATGGGGCTGCCCTCCTTCAAGCTGGCTTCAGCTCCTGTTTTTGTCCTGGTGCTACCCCCTACCCCGCCCCCCCAACGTTTCACACAGCCTCAAGTAAATCAACTTTTGGCATCCTTTGAGCTGACGAGCGCGTTTAAACCTTTCAACTATGCTCCAGCGGGGTCGGCGGCTTGAGCCGGAGGCTCTTAAATTTAGGGTTTAGGGTTTAGGGTTTAGGGTTTAGGGTTTAGGGTTTAGGGTTTAGGGTTTAGGGTTTAGGGTTTAGGGGTTATGGTTTAGGGGTTAGGGTTTAGGGTTTAGGGTTTAGGGTTTAGGGTTTAGGGTTTAGGGTTTAGGGTTTAGGGTTTAGGGTTTAGGGTTTAGGGTTTAGGGTTTAGGGTTTAGGGTTTAGGGTTTAGGGTTTAGGTGTCTTTTTTGTTTGGCGGGGAGGGAGGGGGCCCGGTAAGGAAGTACACCTGTTCTTTTCATGGGCTTTGCAGGCGATATCAGAGTTGTAGGAGTTACACCCTAAACCCAAAAGCCCTGAACCCCAAACCCTAAACCCTAAACCCTAAACCCCTAAACCCCTAAACCCTAAACCCTAAACCCCTAAACCCTAAACCCTAAACCCCTAAACCCCTAAACCATAAACCAGAGAGCTTGAGACAAAATTTCACAACTCAAGCCCAGGCTGCGCGGAAGCTGAGAGGCACTCCTGCCAGATGCCGTACTTCTCGTACGTCCCTGGGGCTCTAAACTGCCACGTGCAAAAAGAGTTTAGGGTTTAGGGTTTGGGGTTTAGGGCTTAGGGCTTAGGGTTTAGGGTTTAGGGTTTAGGGTTTAGGGTTTTGGGTTTTGGGTTTAGGGTTTCGGATTTAGGGTTTAGAACAACAGTTCTGATTAGGATGACAGTCCTTCTCGCTTTCAGAGGGGACTCTACATGTGACCCTTCCTCTTCGGCACCCTACAAACCCAAAAGGGATTAGGGTTTAAGGTTTAGGGTTTAGGTTTTAGGGTTTAGGGTTTAGGGTTTAGGGTTTAGGCCCCCCCCAAGGACGCCGGAAATGCTATAGGACCGGGAGTGCAAGATATTCGAGCTCAGGCGAGTTACTGACGGCTATACTGGTAGGACATCGCAATCACGAGTTCCTTCTGAGTGCGAGCAGCAGGCTCAGTGCCGGGTTCCAGGTGATTGTGCTCGCACGCCCCACGGTGCACATCGCCTGTGGAGCCCACTTCTTGGATGGCCCTTTCAATTCCGCAAGCCCATGAACACACGAATTGCTAGACAACTTCATGGTGAAGTGATCCTTGTCTGATGTGATATTGGAGACTAGTTATTCCAATTGGAGACTAGTTATTCCAAGATAACTGGTGTTCGTGTCTGAAGACAGCCAGCCGGATCAGGGAACAAGAAAAGGGACAGAGGGGGTGGGGGAGAGGGAAGCGGACATGCTGCAACGTGGCGAAAAGCGGATACAACCGGTCAACACGCGGAAGTCGCAGCATCGCAAGTGCAACGACGCCTTTTCCTGACGACACCAATTAGGTCACGGCACCTACGGCACCTTCATCGCACTTTCTGAGACTACATCTTCGTGACAGCCTATGCCTCATCCTAACGCCCTAAAACCTCAACCATCAACCCTAAACGTTTAATCCTAACCCTAAACCCTAAACCCTAAACCCTAAACCCTCAACCCTCAACCCTCAACCCTCAACCCTCAACCCTCAACCCTCAACCCTCAACCCTCAACCCTCAACCCTCAACCCTCAACCCTCAACCCCAAGCCCGGAAAACTCTACACCCACGCCACCACCAACCAACGGGCCCACAGGCCTGGTAGACCAAGGCAGAGGCTCCCTGCCTCAGCTTAGGGGGGGTTTAGGGTTTGGGGTTTAGGGTTTAGGGTTTGGGGTTTGGGTTTTAGGGTTTAGGGTCTAGGGTTTGGGGTTTGGGGTTTGGGGTTTAGGAAACTTCCCAGCCCCTTTTCTGTGGGATTTGGGGTGGGGGGGGGCAGGGCTCAAGATTTTTACTGGAGGTTCTACGGGACCTGAACCCGAAACACTAAACACTAACCCTAAACCCTAAACCCTAAACCCTAAACCCTAAACCCTAAACCCCGGGGCGCCCTAGATTTGAGGAAGCCCCTGGAGTTGGATTGAGGGCTGAGACCGTTCGACTGCCACAACGAGGTGCTTTAGGGTTCAGGGTTCAGGGTTCAGGGTTTAGGGATTTGGGTTTAGGGTTTAGGTTTAGGGTGTAGGGTTTAGGGTTTCGGGTTTAGGCTCAGGGTTTGCTGGGGTGGGGCCACTAGAAGATTGAACTTCCGTAAAGATTTAGTAAGGTGATAGAGGAATGCGGGCCCGCAGAACTTGAAACAATGAATCCAAATCAAACCCAGTAAAGAGCTAATAGAACTTAGGGCAAAGGACATGGGCATGTCCCCGCCCATGTCCCCGAATGTAACCCCCCCCCCCCACCCCCCGCCGCAAGAAAAAAAACTGTCATATAGAATCCCGAGAGTGAGTACATCTGTTCTTGGGAAACCCCTAAGTAATGTTGCACACTTTTCTGGTGGTGGGATACGAGTAGCGTTGGTGCGTCGAGGCCCCTAGCAGTCTACGGAATTCTTGGACCGTAAAGAATTCATGAAGGCGGCCAGGCGGCCAAAACATACCCTGCTGGCAGGCGTCGATTGCCTTAGCAGAGGGGGTCCGAAATACCCTCAGCTTACCTTAGCCCTAAGCCCTAAACCCTGAACCCTACACCCTACACCCTAAACCCTAAACCCTAAGTCCTTGACGCAGAATCAGCTCGGGCTACTTCACTTCCAACTAAGCTTGCGGCAACGCTAAAGCTCATCTCCGATGCTCGGAGGCCTTTCTCTCGGCTTTGCTTAGGTTTAGGGTTTAGGGTTTAGGGTTTAGGGTTTAGGGTTTAGGGTTTAGGGTTTAGGGTTTAGGGTTTAGGGTTTAGGGTTTAGGGTTTAGGGTTTAGGGTTTAGGGTTTAGGGTTTAAAGGGTTTAGGGTTTAGGGTTTAGGGTTTAGGGTTTAGGGTTTAGGGTTTAGGGTTTGGGGTTTGGGGTTTGGGGTTTGGGGTTTGGGGTTTAGGGTTTAGGGTTTAGGGTTTAGGGCCGGGCTCAGAGTTCCAAATAACCAAAGAGTGTTGGATTCAAGTCTACCTTGATTACCGGGAAACCCTAAACCCCATCAACCCTAAACTTTACACACCCTAATCCTAAACCCTAAACCCTAAACCCAAAACCCTAAACCCTAAACCCTAAACCCTAATCCTAAACCCTAAACCCGATAAACCCTGAAAAACCCTATAAACCCTACACCCTGTAGGGACCCTAAACCCTACAAACCCTCAACCCTGAACCCTTCAGTCTCGGGTGCTCTGGCCTAAGGGGCTTGCACCGGAGCTCCTGAACTGAACGCGGTTTAGGGTTTAGGGTTTAGGGTTTAGGGCTTAGGGTTTAGGGTTTAGGGTTTAGGGTTTAGGGTTTAGGGTTTAGGGTTTAGGGTTTAGGGTTTATCGTACACCCCCATCTGGGAATAGGCAAGACATCTCAGAGTTGAACAGGGGATAACCCTAACCCCTAACCCCTAACCCCTAAACCCTAAACCCTAAACCGGAAACCCTAAACCCTAAACCCTAAACCGTTAGGGACTTCTTCAGAGGTTCTGCTGGCGAGAAACTCCGGCGAAGCAATCTGCGCAGGAGAAGAAGCGCCCATTCCCACGATGAATTCTCGCCCAGCGCATGCATAGTCTTGGCGCCAGCAAGGGTTTAGGGTTTAGGGTTGAGGGTTGAGGGTTGAGGGTTGAGGGTTGAGGGTTGAGGGTTGAGGGTTGAGGGTTGAGGGTTGAGGGTTGAGGGTTGAGGGTTGAGGGTTGAGGGTTGAGGGTTGAGCGTTGAGGCAAACTAGACCCAGGAGTAAGCTAGGAATAAGAAGGGCGCCCTTTTTGGTTAAAGAGGTTTACAATGTTTACAAGGGAGCCGAAACCGTAAAAAAAGGGAATAAGGGCCTAGTCTGGGTCCTGGACAAGCCTCAAAAGTTCCACCGAACCCGGTGCTTGAGTATCAGCCGGCTTCCGCAAGGCTCTGTCAGAGAGAGAGCCCTCAAGAAACAAGCGCCTGTCAACCAATCCCTAGACCCTGGACCCTGGACCCTAGACCCTAAACCCTAAACCCTAAACCTCTCTACCATATAACCCTAAATGTTAAACACGAATTTGGCGTTTAGACCCCCATTGGTCAGCACGAATTTGGCGCTTTGACCAGTCTGACCCGTTTGCCCCCCCCCATTGTTCAGCACGAATTTGGCGTTTGGACCCGTCTGACCCGTTTGGCCCCCCCATTGTTCAGCACGAATTTGGCGTTTTGACCCGTCTGACCCGTGTGATTGTTTGGCCTCTTGGTGCGTCTGAACAGAAATTAATGAACTTTTTATCTTAATGTTATGGGATTCTTTGGGCGGGTGGGTTGTTTTCCGTTGCCTACACACACTGCTGGCCTAGTAAAATCTCAAACTTGAGATGCTGAACCCTAAACCCTAAACCCTAAACCCTAAACCCTAAACCCTAAACCCTAAACCCTAAACCCTAAACCCTAAACCCTAAACCCTAAACCCTAAACCCTAAACCCTAAACCCTAAACCCAGTGGTCAAGCAGCAGTGTGGTAGGTGACGGATGAGACCGGCCAGGGGCGCTGCAGCATGCAGAGGGCCAGGTGCCAAAGGCTTGCCTTCAGGGCTTATAGGGTTTAGGGGGTTTAGGGTTTAGGGTTTAGGGTTTAGGGTTTAGGGTTTAGGGTTTAGGGTTTAGGGTTTAGGGTTTAGGGTTTAGGGTTTAGGGTTTAGGGTTTAGGGTTTAGGGTTTAGGGGGTTAGGTAGTTTAGGGGCATTTAGGGGGTTTATGGGGTTTAGGGGCGTTAAGGGTTTAGGGGGGTTTAGGGTTGGGGGCTTGGGGTTTAGGGGGCTTAGGCCTTCTGGTTTAGGGTTTGGGTGGTTTAGGGTTTTGGGGTTGAGGGTTTAGAGGTTTACGATTTGAGCCTCAGACCCTCCGTGGCTTACGAAGGGCATGTGAGCTCCTGAACCCCTAAGCTACTATTTACTTACTAACCACCCAAGAATCTTATGACATGTTCTTTCTCATAAGGATGATACAGGGATTGCTGTCTTTCATGCCCCCCCGCCCTTTTTTTTTTTTTTGGGGGGGGGGGGGGGGGGGAGTTCTTAAGCTTAAGCCAATGGTAGTAACACCTCAGTACTCCGGGTCCTGCACCCTCAGAACCATCCACACTCGGCCTGCACCAGCGAAGTCGCCACGATGCTGGTGGAGGCGCAGTCCTTGGCCAAGGCTACAGTTTAGGGTTAGGGTTTAGGGTTTAGGGTTTGGGATTTGGGGTCTGGGGTTCAGGCGAATCCTCCCGCACGGCCCCCCTGAACCCTAAACTCCCTACTGACACCCCATAGAAAGAGGAAGGACGCCATAAACCCTAAACCCTAAACCCTAATCCCTAGATCCTGAACCCTAAACCCTAAACCCCAAACCCGCTTATAACCCCAAACCCTAAACCCTATCACCCGAAAGCCTGAACCCTGAACCCCTAAACCCCAAAGCCTTTGATCCTGACAGCTCGACAGCTTTGAGCCGGGAAGCGGGGGCGACCCGGCTCTCTCGCATCTGCCCCAACAGCGCGACCACGAATTTCCACCTGCCCCGACCAAGCTGCCTTTTGTGTCACTCTCTTAACACTTCCACTTTTTTCGTAGGTTTCGGGGTTTAGGGTTTTTGTTACGGGGCTTTATTGGGGTTTCCACGTAGATTGTTTGTAGAGTTGGCAGGGTTAGGGATGAATTATATGGGTTTTCACTAGGGTTTACGGTGTAGGGTTAGGGCTGGGGAATCCTTTTCTGTCCTTTTTCCACTTAGATTATTTGCAGGGTTTCGGGTTCAGAGTTTGTATGGAATTTAGGGTGCAGGGTTGGGACTATGATCAAAGCAGACGCTCTTAAACCCTCAACTCAAAACACTAAACGCTAAACCCTAAACCCCAAACCCCTAAACCCTGAACCTTGAACCCTAAACCCTAAACGCTAAACCCCTAAACCCAAAACCCTAAACCCTAAACCCTAAACCCCTCAAACCATAACCCTAAGCCTAAGCCCCTTATTCTCAGCAGACCGCACCTCAAACTTAGGCTCGAGCTGTTGGGTCGTTGGGCTTCATGTCGTTGGAGTTTTAGTAGGGTTTTAGGGTTTTAGGGTTTCAGGGTTTCAGGGTTTTAGGGTTTTAGGGTTTCAGGGTTTTCGGGTTTTAGGGTTTTAGGGTTTTAGGGTTTTGGGTTTTAGGGTTTAGGGTTTTAGGGTTTCAGGGTTTTCGGGTTTTAGGGTTTTAGTGTTTTAGGGTTTTTTAGGGTTTAGGGTTTTAGGGTTTTAGGGTTTTAGGGTTTCAGGGTTTTAGGGTTTTAGGGTTTTAGGGTTTTAGGGTTTTAGGGTTTTAGGGCTGTAGGGCTGTAGGGTTTTAGGGTTTTAGGGTTTAGGGTTTTTTCGGTTTAGGCCTAGCTGCAACCGTTTTCCACAAGGCAGCCGAGGGGCCTTGATTATTGAAAGTCGGATCCCTTCCGAACCCTTGCCAAAAGGAACTCGGCAGATTGGGTGACCCTCCAAACCCCTTCATCAGATCCAAAACCCTGAACCTTAAACCCTAAACCCTAAACCCTAAACCCTAAACCCTAGACCCTAAATCCTAAACCCTAAACCAAAAACCCTAAACCCTCGAAGGAGCCAGGTGCCTTCCCTGGCAGCCTTTCATCGCGGCATTGTAGCAGTACTCATTCCAAGCAGCCTGGCGCTCGAGAGCCCTAAACCCTAAGGACCCTAAACCCTAAACCCTAAACCCTAAGGACCGTTAGAACAACCTTCAAACCTACTTAAACACTGGTGGACCGCTGGGCCCTTCCCGCCTGACTGCCTTCGTGCAGCAGTAGCCCCCACTGCCACTGTTGAGCCTGGAAGCTCCGTGGGGTTTGGGGTTTGGGGTTTAGGGTTTAGGGTTTAGGGTTTAGGGTTTAGGGTGTAGGGTGTAGGGTGTAGGGTGCAGGGTGTAGGGTGTAGGGTGTAGGGTGTAGGGTGTAGGTTTAGGGCTGACCAGGGTCTTCCCAAAAGTGATCGAGCCGCATCGCAAGATAATCCGACACCCTTCTGATAAGGAACCCCACCCTACCCAAGCGCCTGCTGCCTGCGGGAAGTGCCCACGAATGTCCAAACACACAACTCGCAAACACCTTTGTAATCATACTATGATGGCCCCCAAAACCCCAAAACACTTTTCTAAATAATAGTTGCTAATAGTACTCCCTTATGGCCCCTCCAAAAATCTCACGGCAGTCGCTGGCGGCCTGGTTGCAACTGGACAATGCCGTGGTGATGCTCGCAGGGTCGGGAAGCCTCCCGAGGCGGCAAGACTCGGCAGGACAGCAAAAAAAGGGGCCTGAATAATTAAAAAAACGCTTTTTTTTTTTTTTTTTTGGGGGGGGGGGGTTATTATAGAGTACAGTGACAAAGGGGCCATAAGGGAATACGACTGGCAACTATGAGAAAAAGGTTTTGGGGGGTTATTATTTTGGTATACTTACAAAAGGACCATAAGGGAATACTGTCAGTGATGGTTCCGACCCCTATAGTATGTTGATCGCATGGCAGCACCCTTGTCGCGGCCCATGCACAACTCTGTGGAATACTTGGAGAGCGTGGTGGCTTGAGTATGGCTCTATGTCAACATGTGCAGAGGCCTAAACCCTAAACCCTAAACCCTAAACCCTAAACCCTACACCCTACACCCTAAACCCTAAACCCTAAACCCTAAACCCTAAACCCTAAACCCCAGCCCAAGCCCTGCCTAGAATTCGAAGTGCATGGCTGCCGAAGCTGGTCCAGTGCCACTGCCCAGAACGTTTGATCCTGCAGCACTTCTGTCGCAGGATGCTGTGGTCGAGGGTTTAGGGTTTAGGGTTTAGGGTTGAGGGTTGAGGGTTGAGGGTTGAGGGTTGAGGGTTGAGGGTTGAGGGTTGAGGGTTGAGGGGTTTCGGGTTTGGGGGTTTGGGGTTTCGGGTTTAGGGAGGTGTTAGGGCGGCTTACTTCAGGTTCATGGGGTACTTAGAAGTAGGGTTATCGGTACTCTACAGAAGGTTCTGACCACGGGTACTTAAAACTACCCAAATGAACCTGCAAGTAGTGCAGGTTCAGGGATGTGGGTGCCAATGTTGCGGCCGCCGTACATCTCAACTTGAAGTTGCAGCGCATTCCCGAGTAGGGCTATCCGTAGATTCCAATATGGTTCTGACTTTCTTTAGGGCACTCCTGACCTCCAGGTAGGGACCTTTAACAAATCGGGGTTTACGAAAACATATATAAGGGACCCCCCCCCCCCCAAGAAAAAAAAATATTAATACCAACAGCAGGAATCCCTTGTAATCAAAACCCCAAAATAAGGTACCCCTCATGTCGGCAACCCCCAAGTTGACCGGAGGTTCGTCAGGTCCTCCTCCGCTGCTTTGGCCACAGAAGTGAACCCAACTTGGTCCAGGCAGACACCGCTCCTGGCTTACCCGAAAAGCTTAGGGGTTTAGGGATTTAGGGCTTGGGGTTTAGGGTTTAGGGTTTAGGGCTTAGGGCTTAGGGTTTAGGGTTTAGGGTTTAGGGTTTAGGGTTTAGGGTTTAGAGTTTAGGGTTTAGGGTTTAGGGTTTAGGGTTTAGGGTTTAGGGTTTAGGGTTTAGGGTTTAGGGTTTAGGGTTTAGGGTTTAGCTACATGGTCCCAAAGTATGGGCCCTGAAAGGAATACCCCTCATAGACCCTAAACAAATCAGGGGCACTGCGGGCACTGCGGCGACCCTTGGAGAAAAGTGGCTACCCTAAACCCTAAACCCTAAACCCTAAACCCTAAACCCTAAACCCTAAACCCTAAACCTCCTAAGCCCACTCAAGCCCCGACTCATGAGGAAGTTCCGGAAAGCCACTGAGGATCCGATGCGACTTCATGCAAGGGGGTGCAAAGTGTTCGTGAGATGAGGATAAGCTGCTAAACCTCAGACGTACGAAGGTTGTGTATATCCCAAGTGCTCTAAGTGCTCCACTCTAGGCCCTGAACCGGCGAGCTCGTGGCTTTGCAGGTAGACTTTGGTATGTCACCGGCCAACGGCTCCCCTGGTTCAGCTCGGTATCTGAACAGAATACTTACCTCCAGCGCGAGCTCCTTCTTGCCTTTGAAAGATCGACATTCTCAACAGTCAGACCCAGCTCGAGCAGGTAAACCCCTACAAAACGCCCATGCCTGCCTGTTGAGTCGGCCCTAGGCCCTATGCCCCAGACTCTGACAGTCCCGAGCTTACAGTTGCTTCGCAGGGAATGAAGGAGTAGCCGCAGCATACCTTGGGATGTTCCCCCGTATACTTCCTAACAGTCCTCTATAGTCCCAATTAAGGGCTGTTAGACTGTTAGCACAAGGGGGGACATTCCAAAGGATACCCCTTAACCCCTTTGCAAGCCTAAACCCCTCATTCCCTACTAACCACACTAACCCAAACGATCCTGCCGCAGGCCAGTGTCGCCAGCGCACGCTGCCAGGGGCTTCCCAAAATGGCCTTTAGGATGAAGGATGCGGAACATCCCATTTCTTGAAGCGGCGCCCTTCCCTGAACCTCCTAGTTTACCGTAAAAAACATCCTATACACCATCAAAACAACCTTAAACCGAACAGAACACCCCGAGCCCTCAACAAAACCACACCCTGTGAATCCTAAACCCTGGGCCTCAGAGCCTAGAGCCATTGCTTTTTTGAACCCTGGTGTTTAACTCAGGTAGGGAACCTACATAATGAAGGGGCTTCTCTGAGCTTCTCTTCTACATGTCTATCTAGCCCCAGATCCATTCCAGTAGGGCCTAACTTAGCCCTGAAGCCCAAAAACCCTGAACCCTAAACCCTAAACCCTTAATAAAACAAAGACCTTGAATCCGAACTACCCTGAGGCGGAGCCATCAATGCCATCCGGCCGCGGCGTTGTAGCCGGCTGTGCTCGGCTCCAGGCGCAGGCGTTCCAGGAAGCCCAGGAGATGGAAGGCCTGAACCAGAGCGTATATTTAGGGTAGGGGTTTAGGGTGGGCTTAGAGCTTGCGGGCTTACGTGTTTATAGCACAACAGGTCCTAAAATGCTGGTGGTGGGTGGTGGTGGGTGGTGGTGGGTGGTGGTGGGTGGTGGTGGGTGGTGGTGGGTGGTGGTGGGTGGTGGTGGGTGGTGGTGGGTGGTGGTGGGTGGTGGTGGGTGGTGGTGGGTGGTGGTGGGTGGTGGTGGGTGGTGGTGGGTGAAATAGCAGAAACTGATGTTGACGATGGTCGTGATGATAGCCAACTTAATGATGATAGTAAACACACCCTAAGCCCTAAACCCTCAAAACCCTAAACCCTAAACCCCTAAAACCCGAAACCCTAAGCCTGAACCTGAACCTTAAACCCTCAACCCTAACCCTCAACCCTAAACCCTTAACCATGCAGCTGTCTTTTTCGCCTCCAAGCTGGCCGAGATTCAGCAAAATCTTGCTTTGGAGCTCCCAAAAACCCATAGAAACGCAGCACATTTACTGAATCTTGTTTTGGAGCTCTTGATAAACTTCCGGTTTTTGTTGCAGAAGCCAGGTCATTTTGGCAAGAATGGCGCTACGCGACTTCGGGCCTGTAAACTCGTATTGGCAGCTCCCATAGTTGGGAGCACTAACTTCGCAGTACCACGTTGGCTCATGAGTAGGCGTGTCTGGCTTTTGGACTGGGACGCAGGTCAACTGACTGAGCAGATCCTTGTTCTTTGCTTGCACTTGTTGCAAAGCTTCGTGCAACTTCTCGGTCTTTTGGTCCTTCACCCACGCAGGTAGCGTATGGCTGCTTGGGCTGCTTGGGCTTGGAGCGCTTGGCAATGCCTCCCGGCTCCGGGTCGGGCTTGGGGCCGTGTCAGCTTTGTCATCCTTGTCAGCCCTTTCACTGTGGGGTGGCTGGCGCAGCTTAACGATTGTCTGGCAGACAAGTTCACAAATGATCAGGTTCGCGATGTCCTGCAACCCTGACTCTGGCCTTGAGAGATAGTAGTACAAGGCTTCGACCGCGTCTGCCTTTTTGCCCTCTCCGCTGTGTGACGAAGAGTTCGTGTTCGCCCACACATTAACCCATCTGTCCATGTTGCAGTCATCGGAGAGCTTTGCGAGAGTTGGGTTACACAGGGCAAACTCTTTTGCCTTGGACAAGCCATGCGAATGCAGCGTGGGTATGTTGATCTTGAGCCTTTCATAGAAATCTACTTGAAGTTTTGCATCCCCCAGCGTCTTCCAGCCAGGGTCCGGGTTCGTCAGGAAGCCGGCAAGCTTTCCAGCCTGACTTGCTTTTTCTATTCGCTCAAAGATCTGCCCCACAAGCACTGCACCTTCCATTGCCACTCCGGGGACTGAAGGCGAAGGCGCAAGACGCTGTGTATACTGAGTATCCCTAAACCCTAAACCCTAAACCCTAAACTCTAAACCCTAATTCAGAATCCCTGGTTTCGAAACCCCAAAAACCTAAACCCTAAGCCCCCAAGCCTTATTTGTAAACCCCAAAACCCTACACCCTGAACCCCAAAACCCTAAACCCCAAAGTAAGAAATCCGTTCTGAACCCTAAACCCTGAAACCTAAACCCTGAAATTCTAGATCCGAATTCTGTAGGAACCGTTTTTTACGCGCAAAAAAATCCTCAAATCCTTCCGAAACCCTAAACCCTAAACCCTAAACCCTAAACCCTAAAACCTAAACCCTAAACCCTAAACCCTAAACAATAAACCTCAAATCCTTCTGGCGAGCACTGCTTCGAGCCCATCGCCGGCTCTCCAACCAAGCACCACGCAGCGCAAACAGCAAGTGTGTAGGGTCTTAGGGTTTAGGGTTTAGGGTTTAGGGTTTAGGGTTTAGGGTTTAGGGTTTATGGATTAGGAATTGATAGGTCTAGGGAAGAGTGTAGGGTCTTAAGGTTTAGGGTTTAGGGTTTAGGGTTTAGGGTTTAGGGTTTAGGGTTTAGGGTCTTGAGGTTTAGGGTTTAGAGTCCAGGGTCTTAAGGTTTAGGGTTTACGGAGTAGGCATTGATAGGTCTAGGGCTCGGGTTTAGGGTCTGTGGGTCTGGGGTTTAGTCAAGTCTGCAGGCTCCACTCAACGAAATGAAAACCTCGTCTGTAATGTCACTCACATCATCATTCCTAAACCCTACACCCCAAACCCTCAATCCTAAACCCTAAATCCTAAACCCTAAATCCTAAACTCTAAACCCTAAACCTTAAAGCCTAAACCCTGAATCCTAAGGTCCTAAACCCTCAATCTTAAACCCTAAGCCCTAAACCCTAAATCTTTAACCCTGAACCCTAGGACTCTACACCTGAAGACCCACTACTGTGGTTCTGCTACCTTGCTGTTGGTTAGTGGGGAGGGTTTAGAGTTTAGGGTTCAGGGTTCAGGGTTTAGGGTTTAGGGTTTAGGGTTTACGGTTTAGGGTTTAGGCTTTAGGGTTTAGGGTGTAGGCTTCACCCCCCAAAAGGTCAAGTTGTGCTTTAGGTTTAGGGGTGGGGGGGGTGGGGGGATTATCTAAGGAACCCTCTGAAATTGCCTGCCCCAAGATGTATCACAGATGATCCGGTAGTCCCTACGAAAGTCTACAGACTCGGGGGTGTTCCTAAACCCTAAACCCTAAACCCCAAACCCTAAACCCTAAACCCTAAATTCTAAACCCCAAACCCTAAACCCGAAACCAAACCCTAAACCCTAAGGATTTCACAGAAGGATTGGCATTGGGAGGCTTTCAGCTTCTGTGCCTCCGCCCACCCCTGCGCCATGGCACCGGAAGCTGCCACGGAGGTGGCTTCCGAGGGCCGCAGGCTCGGAAGTGCCCTGACAGGCTCTCATGTGAGGCCCTGATGCGGTTTAGGGTTTAGGGTTTAGGGTTTAGGGTTTAGGGTTTAGGGTTTAGGGTTTAGGGTTTAGGGTTAGGGTTTAGGGTTTAGGGTTTGGGGTTTGGGGTTTGGGGTTTGGGGTTTGGGGTTTGGGGTTAGGGGATTGGGGTTTGGGGATTGGGGTTTGGGGTTTGGGGTTTGGGGTTTGGGGTTTAGGGTTTAGGGTTTAGGGTGTAGGGTTTGGGGTTTAGGGTTTGGGGCTTAGGGTTGAGCAAGGGGCTTGGGGGTCAGGGGTTCATGCTCAGGGGTGTGGGCGTTGAGGGGCTCGTTCGGGCGGATGGATTAGCCCCCCGGATCTTGGTACCTTTTAGGGGGTCTTCTAGGTTTGTTTGGGAGAAAAGTAACCATCATATTTTTTAAAATAATGAGGGGTGTTGGGTTTCTTGACAAGGGAACTTTGAGCCAGCAACAAAGGGGGGGGGGGAACAAGGGTGCGACTGGGCAACCAAGGGTTTCAGGACGTTTCAACCCCAAACCCGAAGCCCTCCCTAAACACTAGACCGCAAGTTTAGGGTTGTAGAGTTTAGAAGTTTAGGGTTTAGGGTTTAGGGTTTAGGGTCTAGGGTCTAGGGTCTAGGGTCTAGGGTTTAGGGTTTAGGGTTTAGGGTTTAGGGTTTAGGGTTTAGGGTTTAGGGTTTAGGGTTTAGGGTTTAGGGTTTAGGGTTTAGGGTTTAGGGTGAAGGGTTTAGGGTTTAGGGTTTAGGGTTTAGGGTTTAGGGTTTAGGGTTTAGGGTTTAGGGTTTAGGGTTTAGGGTTTAGGGTTTAGGGTTTAGGGTTTAGGGTTTAGGGCGTTCAAACCCTAAACCCTGAAACCTCACCCCTCCAAGACGCCCGGGTCCTCGCCAGGTGGTCCAGAGCACCGACCCAGGAGGGCGAGGAGGAAAGGAGGATGTTGCAACCTTCCCAGAACCCGAACTATGCTCCCCTTAGAACCTTAAGGGCTTCGGGTTTTTCAGGGTTTAGGGTTGAGGGTTTAGGGTTCAGGATTTAGGGTTTAGGGTTGAGGGTGTAGGGTTGAGGGTTTAGGGTTTAGGGTTTAGGGGATTTATATAAAATAAGAATAAGGACAGCCAGGCGTCTTGAGGTTGAGACTTGGTAGCCCACCATGTTTTCATAACGGCACCCTTGTTTGGGTTGGCTACTTTATGAGGGAACCTTGAACCCAAAACAAGGGAAAAGGGTACCACTGGGCTGCCAAGTAGAGGCTTGGGATTGCACGGCGAGGGAATCGCCCGGTAATGGGTAAACAGCGAACCTGACAGCCAGTAGGCACGACAAGACTGCGTTCCAGGGGTTTCGGGTTTAGGGTTTAGGGTTTAGGGTTTAGGGTTTAGGGTTTAGGGTTTAGGGTTTAGGGTTCCAGCACACGCCATCGAACAAAAAGTGTCCCCAATGCCGTAAAGAAGCAACCGAAGTGAACAAACGAACGGATGCACACCCTAAACCCTTAAAGCCCTACGAGTTTCTACTATTTGTTTAAGAACCCCAACAAGAATGATAATAATCCCTATATACCCTTACAAGGAAGAATATTCCTTATTTTGGGTGGTTCTTGAGCGAAAACTAGGTTAAACCCAGGAGCATCTAGCGCTGCCAAGTCACTCACTGTGTCTGCTGTGATTCCCCAGCTCTGGCTCCTTCGGGTCAGGGTTTGTGGTTTAGGGTTTTAGGGTTTTAGGGTTTAGGGTTTAGGGTTTAGGGTTAGGGGTCTGCCGCAACAAGTTCCCCGCATCCGAAGCCCTTCGACCCTGAATCCAAACTCCTTTCGTGCAACCACTGCGAATCCCGGATTCTCAGACTATACACCTCGGCCACCTCGGCAAGCTTGCGACAGCTAACCCTAAACCCGAAACCCTAAACCCTAAACCCGAAACCCGAACCCTGAACAAGCAGAACTCGACAACAAGAAGTCTCAGCTCCTAGGTAGCTTTCGGAATCTACCCACGACAACGAAACCTAAGTTATCATACCGGTTGGGGCTATGAGGTGATGGTGACCCTTGGTTTAGGGTTTAGGGTTTAGGGTTTAGGGTTTAGGGTTTAGGGTTTAGGGTTTAGGGTTTAGGGTTTAGGGTTTAGGGTTTAGGGTTTAGAGTTTAGGGTTTAGGGTTTAGGGTTTAGGGTTTAGGGTTTAGGGTTTAGGGTTTAGGGTTTAGGGTTTAGGGTTTAGGGCTCTTCTTGCCGAACATGCTGTGGCAGGTCCTCTGGGCAAGGCCGATGGCGGCTTGCCACCTGCACTGCACTGGTCTTTCGGCAGGACGTTTTACATGGACCAAAAAAGAAACAGAGAAATGACCGCCGAAGAGTGCCGAAACTGTTGTAAGTACTGAGGTTTCCGAGAGCCAAAAGGAGAAATCGACGAGTTTTGGCGACAAGATTGCCAGAAGTGGCCAAGCAAAAGAGCAAGAAATGCTGTAAATACCGATGTTTCGGCCTGCACACCAACACAACATTGTAACCCACCCATCGAAAAACAGTGCTGAACTCGAGAACCCTCTGGGGAATTCTCTCCTTCTGAACAGCTCTTTGTCGACACTGAGGGTCTTCAAAGAAGGAACTCCCCCACGATTGCATCTGAAATACATTCAGGAACAATGACAGTATTGGCCTATGGTTGCAGGCGGACTACCATTCTGTTCTAAAAAGCCACGCCCTTGATTCTACACCCCCAAGACCCCTAGAGTCCCCCACACCCGAACCTGACATGTCTTCTCACCACGACCACTCAACTTGAAAACGAAAGTGAGCTTCCAGAAGGCTCCCGCCTCCCGGTCTTCCGCGCAGCATCCATGAGGGCGTTGAGATGAATAACGTTCGGTTGCACTGCGTCCTCCCGAACGGCCAGGAGAGCCTGGCTGTCAGCTTGGGGAAAGTGGCTCTCCTACTGAAATAGACCTAGGTTCCTCTTGCGTCTAGATCTAAAAAGGGCGCCTTTTTTGTTTTGAAGGGTGGCAGAAGGGATCCCAAAGCCCGCAAAAACTGAATCAGGCTCCGTGTCCTAGTTGAGTTCACAAGGGGGTTTTGCTTCTGGGTACTTTAAGTGGACGTTGCGGTTACGACCGGGGGCACGCTAAGGGTGTACCATGAGGATTAGCGAGCCCCAAGACCGCTCATCAACCCTCAACCTTAAAACCCCTCGGAACCTTGCATACCCTTATGTGCCCTGTAAGCCCAAGGGCCCATGCTTCGGAACCATTTAAACAAGGGCCCAGCAAGATTCAGCGGCCATGTAACTACCAAACCCATTCCGAATTACTCATGCATACTGATGGCAAACCTCCTGTGATTTGGGTTTTCTGAAAGCCAGAGCAACAATAATGTTCTTTGGATTCTGCTTGAAGCTTGCTCCCGTTTTGCTGGAGATTCCTGCATGAAACCTGAAGACGCATAAGAAGGCTGGCTTTTTGGAGTTTGGAACCCACTGAATTTGAAATGTTCCTTGGTCTTTGTCCATCAGCACCCCCTTTACAACTCCCCTTATCCCTCATGCCCCCCGCTCATATCCCCCTTGTACCATCCTTACAACCCCCTTCTAGGTTGCCCAGTAACCTAGGATTAAAAAAGGGTGCCCTTTTTTGCTCAAAGGGGTGTTTAGGGGAACCTAGAGCCCCCAAAAAGGGAATAAGGGCACTGCTGGGCATCCTAGCCTTATACCCCCTTACACCCAACCAGGGGCCTCGGTCGCAGCGTCGGCGCCCTCGGTGGCAGCCACGCGTCTGAGTCTGGCCGTGAGAAGCCTGTGGGCTTGGGTTGGTTCGGTTTTGATGTTGGGGGTTTCCGAAAACAGGGGGTGCCCTGCAAGGTTCTATATGCCAGTAGTGAAAACAGGTTATTTTTGGGAAATGACCATATACGGCTTCGGGCCTTGGGGGCCCCGGGAGCTGAAGCATGTTGGCGGTGCTGCGAAGTCAACAATCCCTTGACGAAGGTGGCTATATCTGGGGATACACACTAGACCGCCTCCTTATCATGCAGAATTTTCGCGTCACCAACATTACCCCACTGAGCCTACTGCGGCCAAGAGAACGATGCCAAAGTCAGACGAATGAACACACTTGCTGTCTCTGACTCAGCCGCTTGTGCCAATAGCAAGTCCAAATAAGTCGCTCGGCTGCCAACTCCTACTTTTGAGGGCGGCGCAAGACAAAGAAGCCAACGCCTACTATTGAGGGCGGCACAACAATCAGGACATGGAGCACAGACATTTGCAACAGAACATGTGTCCCCGAAGTCAAACGCTGAATCCCACCCATACTGATGCAGTTCTTACCACGTCGATGACCGCGCAGAGTTGTTCACAAGCTTTGCTGTGTCCCTGCAGTTGGTCAAGTAGTCACGATCAGGGCGGCAGCCTCAGCAACGCGGTACTACAGCAGAGTGTACTGCCGTATACGATGGTATGCCAGAACAACCTGTTGGAAAAGCCAAAAGCCGGGAGTTAATGCCTCTGAGTGTGGTTTGAGCAGCTGAATGTACGACGCGTTGCCTTCCCTGCCTATTCTGAGCATCTTGCCCGAAACCATCTTCCACTGTTTTGGGCTTCAGCTTCTGGCCCAAGAGTTCGATGCTACCCGCAGGAACTCTTGGGGGCTTAGCCGGTTTTGCTCTTGGAGCTACGTGGATTCTCTCACCTGCAGCAGCAGCAGCAGCGGGGACCAAAACTCCACACATCCTTATCTGCTTCATCCTTCCACAGCAGCTGTATCATCTCGGCGAGGCCTTTCATAGATGCAAACGTCAAGGCCCTGTAGCTTTGAGTCTTCTGCACATTCTTGTCCGCTCCAGCCTCCAGCAGCAGTCGAAGAATCTCGACATGACCTTCCCAAGAGGGGGATCAAAAACGTCTGATTCCGCATACGTCGAAGATGCTCCAGTGAAGCTGTGCAATCTCGACAGCTGGCGAAGACAATGACCAAGAGAGGCAGCTCTTGAAGCTCCAACAACCACAAAGCCGCAAAGATGTTGGCAAATGGTACGAATGGAGACGCGCTCTATGAGCTTTCGGGTTCGAAACCCCTCAAGCGGACGGAGATCGAGGCCGTGCCAAACAAAACCCCGCGCAGCCTCGCACGGTGGCCCTGCGGGTGACTTTCGTGAATTGGAACAACACACGCGCGGTCGCAAGTGACCCTCGTGGAGGTGCTCACAACTACCTGACCTACCTCAGGTGAGCAACGGAATCAGGTTCGCCTAAGAACCCCAAAGCTTAACGTTAAGCCCCGTAGCACTCCCAGCTCATTTATGATTCGATACTCGGGCATAGGGTTTGTAGGCAGCGGAGTTCAGAGTTCTACAGCGGAGGGCGTTAAGGGCTTAAGATTTTTATAGGGTTTAGGGCTTGTGGCTTGGTTTTCTGTAAGTCGAGGAGTTTAGGGTTCAGGGTTCAGGGTTCAGGGTTCAGGGTTCAGGGTTTAGGGTTTAGGGTTTAGGGTTTAGGGTTTAGGGTTTAGGGTTTAGGGTTTGGGGTTTAGGGTTTAGGGTTTAGGGCTTGAGCTGTGCATCCCTCCTGCTGCCCACCTTGGCTCCATGCCGCCGTCGATACGACCAGGTGTGGCCTTTGTGCAGGCGCAGGCAGGATGACGAGTTTAGGGTTTAGGGCTTAGGGTTTAGAGTTTAGGGTTTAGGGTTTAGGGTTTCGGGTTTAGGGTTTAGGGTTTAGGGTTTAGGGTTTAGGGTTTAGGGTTTAGGGTTTAGGGTTTAGGGTTTAGGGTTTAGGGCAGTTTAGGGTTTCGGGTTTAGGGTTTTGAGGTGGGATCGGGGAAGAGCAGCAACTGCGCAGCACACTTTTTGGCGATAAACAAGTGAAGACAACCTCCCTTTTCTGGGTTTAGGGTTTAGGGTTTAGGGTTTAGGGTTTAAACCCTAAACCCTAAACACGTCATCCCGGCAGGCTTTGGATGTCGGTCAACTCTACTTGGAGGTTCATGGGTAGTTGTAAGTAGCGGGTTCTAGGTGCTTATAGTCACCCACCCTACTTTGTACCAACAACTTGTACGTCTCTATGAACCTGCAAGTAACCTAAGCCCCGAGGTGTCAAGACTTGAGAAGAAAAGACGGTTTGTCAGCCCAGGGGGTTGCATGAAGTGGAGGACCCGAAACCCTAAACCCGAAAAATCTCGTCCAAAGCCTCCTTTGCATGATCCGGAGGCATCCTGTCTCAAACAATCCGGGCGTTCGTCACTCAACCCTACGGCCTCGAGCCCCAGGGGGGGGGGGAGGGGGGGGGAGGGCGCGGGGGGGGGGAGGGGGGGGAGGGGGGGGAGGGGGGGAGGGGGGGGAGGGGGGGGAGGGGGGGGAGGGGGGGGGGAGGGGGGGAGAGGGGGAAGGGGGGGGAAGGGGAAGGGGGGGGAAGGGGGGGGGGGGGGAGGGGTTAGGGCAGGGGGAGGGGAGGGGGAGCGGGGGGGGGGGGGGGCCTTGGACGCTTAACGTCTATTCTGCGCGTGCTCTTTGTTTTCTTGGATTGGTTCCCGAAAACCAATTCTGAAATTGGGTTCTCGTTTGGCGCTTCAATGCGGAAGGCGTTCTATCGGATCGCTCCTTGGAGGGTCGGACGGTAAGGGGGTTCGGAACATTTTGCTGGAGATTGGGGGAGGCGTGGACCATGCGTGGAGGTTGACGGACGGGTTCGGCGCGGAAGGGGAGAGTGACATTCGGTGCCGCGCGCCCTCCGCGCCTTTCCGCCCTCTGCACGCTCCGCGCCCTCCGTGCCCTCCGCGCCCTCCGCGCGCCCTCCGCGCGCTTCCGCGCCCTCCGCGCCCTCCGCGGCCTCCGCGGCCCTCCACGCACCCCCCCCCGTGCCTTGGACGCTTAACGTCTATTCTGCGCGTGCTCTTTGTTTTCTTGGATTGGTTCCCGAAAACCAATTCTGAAATTGGGTTCTCGTTTGGCGCTTCAATGCGGAAGGCGTTCTATCGGATCGCTCCTTGGAGGGTCGGACGGGAAGGGGGTTCGGAACATTTTGCGGGAGATGCGGGGAGGCCATGCATGGAGGTTGACGGACGGGTTCGGCGCGGAAGGGGAGAGTGACATTCCGTTGATGGGCAAGGGATTTGGGGACGTGGATGCCGCGCGCCCTCCACGCCTTTCCGCCCTCTGCACGCTCCCCGCCCTCCGTGCCCTCCGCGCCCTCCGCGCGCTCCCGCGCCCTCCGCGCCCTCCGCACCCTCCGCGCCCTCCGCACCCTCCGCGCCCTCCGCGCCCTCCGCAGCGAGCCTCGCGCCTCGCGCCTTCCCTCCGCGGGCCCTTCCGCCCTCTGGCCTCCGCGCCATCCGCGCCCTCGCAGCCTCCGCGCGCTCTCCGAGGGGGGGGAGGGGGGGGGAGAGGGGGGGGGAGGGGGGGGGGGGGGGGAGGGGGGGAGAGGGGGGGGAGGAGGGGGGGGGAGGGGGGGGGAGGGGGGGGGGGGGGGGAGGGGGGGGGGAGGGGGGGGGGGGGGAGGGGGGGGGAGGGGAGGGGGGGGGAGGGGGGGGGAGCGGGGGGAGGGGGAGGCGGGGGGGGGGGGTAGATGGAAGCATAGGGGGGCGCGAAAGCCGCGCGGAGCTGGGGGGGGGAGGGGGGGCGGGGGGGAGGGGGGGGTGCATGGCTGCGGAAACCCACATATTCGGATGCCTGGTGCAGGTAGTAGAACCCCTCATCCTTGTCATAGTGGGGTAACATGTTACATTTTTAAGGGCACTAAATACCTCAAGATGGAATGGGAAGTCAAGCTTTCAATACTATCCCAGCCATGCAAAGCCCCTCAGCTGGCAGTACCGGGCAAGTAGGTTTCGTTCAGGCGTCGGAGTCGAGGACACTGTCTGGGAGGCCCGGCAAGTGGCGCCGGCATGTACCCAGCGATCCGCGGCACGACTCCGGTACTGCGGCTGTGCTCAAGGGGTGTGTTTTGGCTCACGGGGTTTAGGGTTTCGGGCTTAAGGATTCGGGTGCAAAGCCTGACATACGCCATGATGGCAAGGACATGCTGAACATCAAAATAAGCAAATTGATTGGCATATTTTTGACTTGAGCCCTGAGCCACACCATATTTGCCAGCATGGATGCATCGGAACGAGGAAGTTGACCCCCTAAAGCACACCCTAGACCCCTAAAAGCCCTCCATAAAACACCCTACTAAGCTAGCGCCAGAACCCTCTAAAGTCCTCAAGCGCCTAACAAAAAAACCCAAAGCCCTAAAGCCCTGTGCAAACAGCTCATCCACAGCTCAACACCCAAAGAAGACCAGCCTAAACCCTAAAGCCTGATGGGCTTGTTTTTTTGTGGGTTTGGGGTTTAGGTTTAGGGTTTGGGGCTTAGGGTTTAGGGTTTAGGGTTTAGTGTTTAGGGTTTAGGGTTTAGGGTTTAGGGTTTAGGGTTTAGGGTTTAGGGTTTAGGGTTTAGGGTTTAGGGTTTAGGGTTTAGGGTTTAGGGTTTAGGGTTTCGGGTTTAGGGTTTAGGGTTTAGGGTTTAGGGTTTAGGGTTAGGGTTTAGGGTTTAGGGTTTAGGGTTTAGGGAAATGAGGGGCTTCCGGAGTTTGGGTGGGGCTTTCGAAGTTGGGCGTCTTCGGGTTTTGGCGTCTTTAGGGTTTTACGGCTTTGGGGCTTTAGGGTTGTGGGCTGTCAGGGTTTTAGGGTCTTAGGGGGCTTCAAAGTTGAGGGTTGATGCTTCAGGAATGGAGTAGCCTAGGTAACCATACTAGGTTACTTCATAAGGGAACCCGGGAAGCAAAAACAGTGTAAAGGGCACCACTTATCCCCGTGTATATACCCTTTAAGGGACTATTCTGGGGTCCCTCATTCCCTCATTCCCTACTACCCAACAGTAAGGAACGGGACCAGGCGTCACCAACTTTTTCTCACGGGCCTGCACTTAACCTGGACCGCAGCTCACCGTGGTCTCTGCCTTCCTGAGTGGATTT